TGTGTGATTGCGTGGAGCTAATCAGTGGGTGATGAGGCGGAGCTAATCACAATGTGTGACAGGGAGGAGCTAATCACAGTGTGATGGGGCGGAACTAATCACAAAGTGTATGATGGGGAGGAACTACTTACAGAGAGTATAACGGGGGCCGGGCATGTGTATTGTACATGCTCACTGCAGGACCCTGAATACACACATCTGGCATGGGCACCACCGCACCACACACAGCTGTACTTCTGATCTGCCGTGTGGCAGCGACTGCAGTCGGATCGACCCACAGAACAGTTGTACAGGGTGACTGACAGAACAGAGAGGAAAAATCACTCTAATGTTCAAACTGAAACATGCTGTCAGGAGGAGTACCACATCATAACTTACCATAGAGATGTGGAGAGCTGTCCACATGAAACGTGTTCCTCCTCTTAATATAAACCATGGCATTGTATTCTTCCACAGGAGCCGAGTATGAGTACTGAAAAACAACAGGCCTGTTTCAAAGGATGTAGTCAGCAAATGAACCAAATACATATTTTATTTCTGCCCCCAAAAAAGAGGTTTAAGATTAAACCAGTAATTTATGAAGCACGCACGTTTCAGTTTAATCATATTTTCTAACATATAATTATGTTCAACGTTCAAGGTTCTTTATTGTCATTCACATCACATGTGGTACATGAGGTGGAATGAAATTGTGTACTCAAGGTCCCAGTTATACCCAAAAATAATGCCAAGATGGCCACGTTCAGGGAAGCCGCAGCTTCACTGGCTCCCAGTGAGATCCCATTTTTCTGTTTTGAAATAGACTCCAAACACCTTTTTTTTTTGAATGTCCAGAGGACCAGATTGAACTTTTTTAGATTGAGTTAATGTAGATTCTGAAATTGGCCCTTAGTTTGAAAAAGGGTTTAATTTCAGCACCCTTTTGACAGCCCTGGTTTAACTGGTAACTCTAAACAGTCCCTAGGTGTGAGGAAGATGTGAATGGTTGTCTTGTTTGTCTCGCTGTGTCTCTGTGATGGACGAGTCTCCGCCTCTCACATGTGACTGAAGGAGACAGACACTAGACCCCACGACCCAAAAGGAAGAAGCGCAAAAAAATAAATAAATGCAATGATAGAATGAATGTATGAATAAAATAATAAATTAATGAATAAATTAATTAAACAAATGACTGCATAAATCCATGAATGACTGACTGAATGAAGTAATAAATAAATAAATGATTAAATAAATAAATGCATCACTCAACAAAATGGATGGATAGATATTATACTGTCCTATTCAGTCTGAACTGTAAGCAATCCATCCATCCATCCATCCATCCATCCATCCATCCATCCATCCATCCATCCATCCATCCATCCATCCATCCATCCATCCATCCATCCATCCATCCATCCATCCATCCATC